ACCAACATCAGCCGCATGAAGGACGTCTACATTGTGCAGTGCCTCATGGAGACGGACCTGTACAAGCTGCTGAAGACGCAGAAGCTGAGCAATGACCACATCTGCTACTTCCTCTACCAGATCCTCCGCGGCTTGAAGTACATTCACTCCGCCAATGTACTGCACCGAGACCTGAAACCGAGCAATCTGCTGCTGAACACCACCTGTGACCTGAAGATCTGCGACTTTGGGCTGGCTCGAGTCGCCGACCCTGACCACGATCACACCGGCTTCCTCACCGAGTACGTCGCCACGCGATGGTACCGAGCACCGGAGATTATGCTCAACAGTAAAGGCTACACTAAGTCGAGTAAGAAAGTGCACAGTGCAAAGATTTTTTCAAAATCACTAATTTCACCCTTTCTCCTTCAGTTGACATTTGGTCGGTTGGCTGCATTCTCGCCGAGATGATCTCAAATCGACCACTCTTTCCGGGTCGTCACTGTAAGTTTGGGCTGGTAATGATGCATTTTAAAGCTTCTAATCACACTTCTTCTCTTCTAGATCTGGATCAGCTGAACCACATTCTGAACATTCTGGGCTCGCCCTCTGAGGAGGACCTGAGCTGCATCATGAACGTGAAGGCTCGCACCTACCTGCAGTCGCTGCAACAGAAGCCGAAACAGCCGTGGACCGTGCTGATGCCTGACGCCGACCCGAACGCACTGGATCTGCTTGACAAGATGCTGACCTTCAATCCGAACAAGCGCATCACCGTGGAGGAGGCCCTCGCCCACCGCTACTTCAGCCAGTACTACGACCCGGCCGATGAGCCAGTGGCCGAGGAGCCGTTCCGCTTTGAGATGGAACTGGACGACCTGCCCCGGGAGAGGCTGAAGCAGCTGGTCTGGGAGGAGGCTGNTTTCACCGGCGACGGAATGGCATCGTCTGAGGAGGTGGTGGACATCGCCAACGCTTGTCGACGAGAACCAGCGAGCAACTTTTCTCGTCAATCTTTCGTTTCCTCTACTCTCATTGACTCTCTCCCTCCTCACCCCTGTTCCCAGCATCCTTAGTCCTTGACCCAAGTGACCCTTGCCTCTTCTAAAAATTCTCTTCTCTCTTCCTTCGATTGATACGTCTTCAAGCGCCCAAACCTCCTCCTATTCCTCCTCTTCTCCTATTCACTCCTAGGTCCCAAGAATATCAAAATTC